CAGTATATATATATATATATATATATATATATATATATATATATATATATATATATATATATATATCTTGTATTCATTTCTTTGATCTAAACAATGAGTACGTGTGAGTTTTTAGAAACCTTACTGAAGCCTATGACGATCACGTCTACTCTTTTTTTTCTTTTTCTCTGTGTATGTGTGTGTCTGTAACATAATTGTGCACCTTGCACCTTTTTTTGTTGGGAAATTACCAGCTATGTCCATTTATAGGTAGCTCATTACAAAAATTGGCCAATTGATAAAATATTACTAATATTAGCCAAATTAGCCAATTAGCTATTTGTAGCAAAAAAATATCAAATTTTTGCTTTGTTTTGAGTGGGTGTTATTAGAATAAATTGGGCACAACTTAAGGAGCTTGAATCTCAGTTTTGGGATGATTTGGTGAAGTTTTGAGGTGGTTTGAATTGAAAATTCGAAATAAAAGCTGAACATGAAAAAAAATGATATGTGTATCACACTGTGTATCATTTGTGTATCACATATGTATCATATTTGTATCAATTGTGTATCACATGTATATCCATGTATACATGTGTGTGAGATACATGCGTGATACATGTTTGATACATGTGTCGCAGAAGACTTTTTTGAACTCGATTTAATTATGAATTTTGATACAAGACCACTCCAAATCACCTCCAATCTTCCTCAAATTTTGTATATTGACTTATCTATATATTTTCAATGAATTTCAACTATACCCATTGAAAAAGTTCCTTTTTTGTTTAGATTTTTGGAATATTTGTATAGATTTTTGTATTTCATCACCTTATTTGCTACCTCGTCCATGAAATTTCTTTTCCGTCTTGTATCTAATGTTGCTAATCACACTTAAAAATATGGAAGGTGATTTTTGCATGTGATTCTTTGAGAGAAAGAACCCTATTATTTGGTTTTTCAATTTTTGTTGGCTAGTTTTGGTAAGTCTATGACTAATGACTAGAGGTTGGTAAGTTGAGATTTATTTGGGACATTTGTGTAAGTTTCCCTTTTTTGTTTTCTTCGTTTGTTCTCGTCGTTGTTCTAAACGACCTACTACTCATTTCCGTTTTCGACGAGTCTCTTTAGTTTATTAACAAATTTTCCTTTATGTTATAGTTTCTAACATCAATTAATTTCTTACTAATAATTAACGGCTTTAACTTTTTGGAATATCGTATATATAGATACTTTTCTGCAAATTATTTATCCTATTTCTATAGCAACCTGAATTGATTTGCAATGGTGGTGCGAGTAACTAGGCCTTAGTGGCCAATGGTGGGCACGCATTTTGCAGTGATTCTGCAATTCTTGTTTAAATATTTCACACTTGTGTTTTTTGCCCATACATAGCCCCTTAATAAATATTTTGTTTAGGAAATAATGAAAATACTACTAATTTGACTTCTTTTAAACCAAAAAAAAAAGAGTTGGAAATATCTCTAAATTATAAAACAGAAGAGAGTTCTGTGGAGGAGATTTGGAGGTTAAGACATGACCCAAAAGTATATAAATGGTCGACACCTTGGTAGACCTACAGATGGGAGGAAAATGATATAGTCCAAAGCATGGATTTTAAAGTTAGGTTAAGTGTCAAGTCAATAAACCTTTTTTGTTTTGTTGGCAACATGTAAATATAGACCCAATCTGAAAGTTGGGTTGGGAATAGAGAGTATGTGTGGTTGAAGAAGGGCCGAGTTGCATAACACAAAGGCCCCTCAGGAGAAATGTAGGTGTGAGAAAGAGTCTAAAGCAGTGGCAAACAATAATCGACATGTACCATCATCCTACCAGTCCAAGCATCTAGGTCTTCAATCACCAACAGTTGAAGCGTTCTGGACCTAACTACGATTTGTTTTCGAAATGGAGGGGGGAACAGTTCGGTGAAAAAGTGAACCTTACAAGCTGTGGAATAACTACCATTCAGTAATCTATAGTGTAATACAATGGATATCTGGTCGTTCCCAGTAGCTGTGCCGACGACAAGGCCGTTCGCGCAGTTTCTCGTGAGGGGGGAGAGGGGGGGGTGGAAGCATAAGAAGAAGGCGGTAACAACAATGATCATAGAGGGTACAAAAGCTCTCTCTACCCAACCCCAATCCGAGAATCATCAATTGCAGAAAGGGAGGGTTATCGGCCTAAGATTGGTTTAAACAAAATACAACTATAGCGGTTGAAAATGGTACACTTAGAAATACTCAACCCGATGATCTACACTTTTAAGGCAGAATCCACCAAGATGCTTATTTAGTTTCAACTTGCAAAGTTATTCAAGTCAACCTTCAATGTGGTGCTACTTAAAATTATAAAAAAAACAGCTGTTGCTTTTCATAGAAGGAATAGGCCTGTAGTTCAGAGCTTTGTTGATATCATATCTTGTCTATAACTAAGAGGGAGCATCCAATAATAATTCATGCCTAGAGAGGGAGCAGCAAAATACTTCTACTACACTTATTTCGGCTTATAAGGGAAGTCGTGAAGATGTCAGTTTGCCTCTTTATTATCTAAGAAGCGAGCTCATTGGTATTCTCCATAGGCTGGTTCATTCCCGTTTGAACAAAACAAACAAAAACTAGAAAAAGAAAAGTTTCAGAGTTTGATTACCCTTGCTTTCTCCATGTTAGCAAACATAGTGATAAAAATAAATATGACATTACAGAATTGGAACTGTCCGCCCCAAGAGTGTATAAAATTGGAAGAGGACAAAGGAAGGGGACAAAGAACAATCCACAATAGGGAGCTAGTACTGGTATATCAGGAAAGGAAATACAATTCTAGAGGCTCAAACATGTTGACAGTTGATTTCCAATTTCAACTGACCATTGGTTCAGGACTTGCGGCAGGCACAATATCCAGCAGAGAGTTCACAGCCTCTATTTCTTCATGCCAAAGTGGAAGAGTATCACCTGGGTAGAACTTTCTTGTAGCCCCGTCTTTGTTTATCTGGTTGTCAAAAATAGGCAAAAGACATTCTTAATCGATTGGAAACAGACCATAGATGCAAAGTCTACTGCACATACAACATATAAATTTTTGCCATTGTCTGGTTTTACACATCAGATTGCATAAAAGGGATTTATGCTTACTGGACTGTTGAAAAACACAAGAGCTTATTAATACAATATACAAAGAAGCTATTGCCTTAGGTCCTCATGTCCTCCAGAAAACACCAGATGAGTGAACGATATTTTTCGACACAAATCAATTCTTGAAGCTGAAAAATTATGCTAAGCTTGCAAGAGAGCAAGCACAGGAGAAATAAAAGGAAGGGTAGGAGATGACCTTTCAGAAGCATACAGTCCTCATTAATATATCATGCTCTAACAAGTAAACACTACCTCCTTCTTAGATCTTAAAATAAGTCCAAATGTAGGCCTAGATCCAGGCATTAACGGAGGGCATACCAAGCAAAACCAAGAAGGGCTTTAAGCAAGAGTGGATGTTCTAAAATAGGTAGTACAAATGATGCGACTCAACACATTAAGGCATGTCTTTTGGTTTTAATTAACTTTTGGTGCACCCATAAAGTTCTGATTAGTATAAATTTGTGGTGTCTTTGTATAAAACCATATTTTTGTATAGGCTCTTTACTTTCTGGCATAATTCTTGTATGCGAGAGGTTTTCTGTCACAACATTTAAAAACTAGTACATTATCCAAGTAAAAAAAATTACGGCAAGTGGCATTACTATGGCCTTTTTTTATGGGTAAATAGCATATTTATATAAATATTTGCACAAAGTGGCATCACTATGGCATTATTCCAACTTCAATACTGACATATGACTTTAGTCTAGCAATAACTTTTTCTAAATCATACAACGGGCATGTGAATGAGTAATAAAGCAGAAAATAACTCACAGTTACAGTGCGAACTACGCCGCCACTCGCACCATCTCGGGCAATGGCAAGAGATACTGCAGTCGCAACCAGTTTCTGCAAAAGTATATCAAAGGAAAGTTAAATCATTGGAGATATCTGCAGAGCAAATACAAAAAAGATGAATGCAAATCATGATCATCAGCACCTATCTACCACAAGACGGAAGAATTTTACTGTTTATTGCGGAATAGCTTCTGACTTCACAAAATTATAATGTTGAAAACAACAACAATCCAATAAATACATCATGCAGAGCATACATTACTCTAAAAGCATTGGCTTTCCCTTCAGAATTAGCAGCCTTGGGTTTGAAAAAAGAAAAATCTGAAAAACTTTGCTACATCCCAAACTAACAAAAGTACACCTAAAGATTCTAAAGTGCGACAGAAACAATTAAGAGGTTTCTTAAGCAAATGGCTCATCATGGTCAAACCATGTTCTACAAATTAGAAAGTTTAAAGATATTATGCAACAAACCTCTGCTTCTTCTTGGGTCATTCCTTCCCTCCATGCTTGGTCAAAGAAACCATACAAATAACTAGATCCAGATCCTATAAACATCAAATGAAGAGAACATCAGAATATTTCTCAGCTAATGGTAGCATTTGAAGGACATTGGAGGCAAGCTGACAAAATTATCGATTATCAACAGCGAAAGCACAACACAGATTATCAACAGAGAAAGCACAACAGATCATTAAAACTAGCCAAAGCAAACGGACAAATAAGTATGTTAAGCAACGATATGAATATACTTCAATGAAACTTTAGTGTGAGATCATCTCTAAATCTTCCTGGCAGACTGGGTATTTCCTTTCAACGCATTATCTACTTTTATACTATTTCTGATCCAATGCTCTATCCTCATTCCAAAGGGTCAGATCAGTTGCCAGTTCCGGCAGCGCAATAAAAACTGCAGCCCGGCACTAAGCTCCCGCTATGCGCGGGGTCTGGGGAAGGGCCGGACCACAAGGTCTATTGTACGCAGCCTTACCGTGCATTTCTGCAAGAGGCTGTTTCCACGGCTCGAACCCGCGACCTCCTGGTCATATAGAAGCAACTTTACCAGTTACGCCAAGCCTCCCCTTCCTTCAAATTGTGATAAAATCACTCTATTCACCAGACTTTAGATGACGATAACTCGTTGTATCTCATTCAACCAAATGCACAGATTGTATAGAATCAAAAATAAACATGAGATTATCCCATTAAATTCAATATAACAACATAACCTATTGAGCAGCTGCCATTAAAGGAAGATACACTACAACCAAGTAACCTATAGTCCTATACCGGTGGTTTTCTAAGAACCAACAGATCTAGACAGTTAACCAGCAAAGTGCTCCTGGGAAGCAGACGCATGAGATACTCAAAGAGTACAGATTGACAACAAACCTCCAATAGCAAAAGGCTGCTCCAAGAGTGTGCCCCCTAGAGGAACCCCATATATTTTACCCCCTTCATATTTGTCCCATCCACCAACAATCATTCCCGTTTGAAGCATAGCCTGAATATTCAAGTTCAGAAATTAGTTAGAAAGAACTCATAGGCAGTTAAAATAATATGCAGAAGCTGAGTAGAAGTCTAGGAACAATGTGCGGGAAAGTTCAGTCAAAAAAAGTAGTAAAAGAAACCTTAAAAGGTTATATCCAAACATTTCTGAGGATATGATTTAAAATACAGGATGGACGAATATATGTAAAAATCCATCCAACTTAATTCTCAACAGAACTGGGAAAAAGGAGATACGTAGTATGATATGCTTATTACTCCAGAATTGGCTCGGGGAAGAATAAGAAATTCTACGAAGAATTGTAAACTTCAGTAATACATTGTGTACGGACAAATGTCTTAGGTTTCTCAAATTATCTGCATCCAAAATCCCTCAAAATGGAACTGGAAAAATTGGGGAGGAGCGGGGAAATAAAATCTGATTTGCACCACCATTGATTGTTCACACTACCACTAAGATACTGCTAAATATAGTTCATTCAACGATTCCGGCTTTCTATAGGACATAATGACCCTTAAATAATTTAATTATTAGATATATGGGCGATTTAATCCCCATATTACACCACAAAGTCGCACCTAATAGATGAGCAGAGATTCTGCCACAACTTTCTGAGTAAGAAGGTGCTCTATCCCAGCTTTCTTTAGAGGATGGCCATTCCTAACACAATCACTTGAAAACAATTTTTAAGGCTAATTATTTGCCATGGGTTCTCAACAGCTAGAACGATTTGCATTAAAGAGAAGAAACGAAACAGATTCCAGAACTTTCAAGCTATCTATACATATATCATTAACTGACAAGCGAAATAAGCAAGTGTAGAAGTTTAAGTCTAGAAATTCTATTGAATAAAACAGGAAGAGATAGTATATTTCTTATAGAAGCAAACCTTATTGTTGTAGGATAATAACCTAACAAGGTTCGCCGCAACCTTGACGGTGGCTGGCTGGCCAAGCTGTATCCTGCATCCACAAAAACTTTCAACCTTAAAAGTGCACCCAAAAAAAAGGATTTGTACTAAATAAGGGGCAAGCAAGAGCCACTTTATCATAATCTAAAATCCTTCCAAAATTAATAAATAAACAAGAGGGGAAATTCTGGTGTGCTGATTCGAGCTTAAAATATGAGTAGTTCAACCAATCAATTCCACAATCCTGACAACGTGGAAATCAATCAAAAAGCTGAAATCTGACAACAGCTTATCAGGGCAAATAAGAATAACAACTTTCACCATTAACGAGAAACCTTGAAAGGAACAAGCTACAAGCCTGTCGGCTTTGGGGTTAAGGGATATTCATTTGCAAGTGACTAATATCACCAGGAAGTAAGCATTTGAATTAAATAAGAGGTGGCTTGATGGATTACGTGTGTTGGTGTAGAAAGTAGCGAACATAGTCCGAGACAACTTGCGAATCTGCAGCCTGCAAACCAATTATTAAATAATATGTCAGATCCGATTCACAGAATGCTATAGAGAATCAATTATCATATCATAAGATAGAGAAAATCAGCTGTTAGGGATTCACTTCCAAGCATCAAGGCATTTTAACTTCTTAGAACTTACAATGGTTCCAAGTCATTTTCCATACCTAGAAATAGGTAAAACACATTTTGTCGTTTGTCTAATAAGCTAAAAATTGTTGGTGATGCGCTGGAACTGTATCAACCTTTTGATAATCACGGAACAATGAAAGCCGATATTTTGGACAAAGACAGACTCAACAGAGTACATAGGTGGAGGTCTCCAAAAACAAGCATCAATAACCCGAATTGAACCATCATCCAAACCTCTATTGCTAAGGAACAGAACAAACGTCTAAAACTAACACAACTTCAGCTAGAAAACATTTCCCATAAAATTCTTAAGAAATCAGCACATTGAAATGGTGATTATCTCATTCTAATTTCAATCTACCACTATATGTTCCCACTATCCTATATTTCACTTTCTCAATTTATATTGCCCTACATGAAGTTTTTACCTTAGAATAGGCTTTGACGCTTGCGTAATGTTTGGTTGTGTAATCGAACCCCATTAAGAATTCAAATTCCTTAAAATATCAAAAGTGGCAGTTTGTGCTAAAAAGTAGAACCCCCTTTCGCCTCTTCAATAATGACGAAAAAAGAGAAAATTTTACATGCACGCTCAAGTGTATACCCATGTAATCTAGTTCAGACATTTATACAGAGGTTGCCTCAGTTGTAATGACAATGAACCACGTATATTACAAGTACTCCCTAAACCTCTATGCCCCACCTATACGAGAGGGGGGAGCGCAAGAAGAAACATACTTCAACGCTTACCTAGCCTCAGTTGTAATTACAATGAACCACATATATTACAAGTGCTCCCTAAACCTCTATGCCCCACCCATACGAGAGGGGGGACGCAAGAAGAAACATACTTCAACGCTTACCTAGCCACAAAAGAAAATGGCCTTACCCAAAAAAAATTAAAAGATTCACAATTCTCAAGCAACCCTTAAGCACTAAGGACAAGCTCAGAAGTACCTAAAAACACAAATCCACCAACACATCTTTTAATCCCAATTTCAGCTCAACCGGTCATCAATGAATTACACCTCAATCGATCATTTTCCCCCTCTGCTCCAAATCTTACAATACATACAGAATTAGCAAATCTCAAATATGTACTTTAGTACTGCAGAAGAAGTACAAGAAAACTACAGGAGCACCACACGACACACTCACGTTGTTAATCGCCACCTTGTGAGTCCTCCTCATCCATCTTATTTTCTTTTTGGTTTATTTCGTTGAACATGTTCGGCGTTACTATGTTTTTAATAACCGAGGATAGTGGCACACGGTTCAAAACGGGGTGGATAACGAACCCACCACTTCTCCACTTAATACCAGCTCTTGTCTTCGGCAGGAATAACCCGTGACGTGCGCCTAATTACACATCTCACGCTGTGCTCTTACCACTAGAAGAGCATTTGGCATTACTGTGTTTAATTGGTCTTATCATCATATACAAGTATCAGTGGTATCGAAATCATCATATACAAAGTGACATATGCCACCTAATTTCTATTAAACATGGTTTTCTTGACACGCCTAGGAGAGAGTGGAAGGACATGCCAGAACATCTGGAGTAGCATATGGTAAGATGCAATACAAACGAAAAAGTGATTTAAACTTCTGATAGTAGCTGCTAATGAACCATTTTCGTTGGATTTCATTGTCTTCTCATAGAGTTCAACATTTTTTCTCCACAGTTTAGTAAGACAAATCAGAAAGACTCAAAATTCATATAGCACACTCCAACTAGTTAAGGATTAAGCGCAGTTGATCGGTTGACTGATTGAGTGAGTGACTGAAGACTTAATTGCATAAGTTTTACGCCTGAATATTGTAGATTTTTATACTGATATAGCTTAACAATATGAACTGATTTCCAATAATCATAGGAAAGATAAGCAATGAAGAGATGTGCTGTTCTTTAAAGGTTCTCCATATTTGGTATACTACCTTAACCAAAAAAAAGAGATATGCGGAGAGACATAGATAGACAAGATGCATAGGGAGAAAAAGAGAGAGCAAACAGAATCGCCGTTCATTGTTTTTTAAAATTAGGAACACTTTCTCCTTGCAAAATTCTTTGTCATGTGGAAACAGAATACAGCATTGACATGTGGGTTCACCGAAGCTCCTTAAAGATTTTGAAGAAATGGTATTACCGATGGCAAAAAAATGTTTTGGCATAGCTAATACAAAAGAAGATCAATGTTGAAAATTATTAAGCTTGTAACTTGACGAATCCTTTAACAATTTCTATTTATGTTCTACTTCTCCTTATTTGCTTATCCATCAAGAGCATATAACAGGTTATTTAAATGTTATAAATAGAGTTTTGGCATCATTACTGTCATATCTCAGCCACATTTACCAGTTCCAAAAGCAACAGGAAAAAAAAAAAGATGGGAGATACTACCACATCCTTATTCAAATTCATGAATCGCATGATCCACAAAACCCAGTATGCCAATAGTTCAACCAAATAACAAAAACCCCGTATAGAATAAGGGGAAAGGGGATTAATAATGCCAAAGCACTAATAGCAGTTTCCGCAGTTTCTCTTTGTCAAGAAGTATGAAATCATAGCTATCATATGTAGTAACAAAGGCGGATGTAGTGCTCTAATTATGGGTTCCTCGAACACAAAAACTTTGAGGCAGACTCTGTATATGTGTTAAAATTTTCACTAAGTATAAATAAGTAGATTTTAAACCCAGTAAATCAAACAGGTTGTCAGGGTAGAATTCTGAACTCGGCCGTAATGTTCAAATCCTGTATCCACCTCTAGACATAGATAAAGAAGAGAGAAAGACAAGTGTAAAGTAGCATACCGATCCAGAACGGCAAACATAGACATTATCAGTGAGCTGAGTTATCTTGTCTGAAGCCCTATTCGCCACGTACATTCCTATATTTCCAGAAAAAAACAAAAACACCAAACATATGCAATTCTTCAGATTACACAAATTAGCCGAATCCTTTTCAGAAAAAATATGCATTGAAATTCCTTTTTCAAATGCTCATGCAACCTTGGTGGGTGTGTTACAATTTTCACAGATAGATTTAATCTTTCTCAGATAAAACTACACAAAAGAATTTTCATTTCACAAATTCAAAATACTAAAGACTTAACCAAAACCTTCTCATAATAAAATCATACAAGAGTAACGACTTCATTTCCACTCATTCAAACTCTTCTCAGCAAGACTATAATGCTGAAAAGTAAATCAAACCCTCAGAAGATCTAGCAAAACAGAGACTTTATTTCCATGTAATCAAACCCTTCTCAGCAAGACTATATTAGAATATGAATTGGAAGGTGGCCATAAGTTTTATTCTTTGCACTTTGATCCCTTTAGTTTAGTTTTTAATTACACATTTTCCCCATCACCTTTGTAATTTCAGTTAGACCCTGTTCATTATCTAGGTCTTCTTCCTCATATTAAAATTATTGTAATTACTTTGAAGGCTATCAATGAAATTATCCCGTATAACCATAACTTAGCTCAGCTCATAATAGCCACCATTGTTGCAGTTCCATTTGCATCAGACTATAATACCAAAAGAATAAATCAAACCCTTCTCAGAAGAAAAAGAAACTATAAAGAATCCTTTATTTTCAGTAGAAAACAACTATAACGAAACTTTATTTTCAGAATATCAAAATTTCCGCAGCAAGACTATAAAATTGTAAAACAAATGAAACAATTATGAGAAGAAAATTAAAAGAAATATTACCAGTGCTGGTGCGGGAGTCGGCGCCGAGGACGACGCCACCGTTGTAGGTGACGCCGATGATGGTGGTCCCCATTGAATGGGGCTGCTCCACATCGAGCAAAGATTTGTCCATCTTTTAGGGTTAAAGCTTAAACGAGCAAGAAAAAATCAAGACTTTGAAGGTATCAGTCGAGTGAGAGAAGAAATAAAGAAAAACGAGAGTAGGGGAATATCAGCAACTGCTCATTGTCTTGGAGAGTAAGAAATATACTCCTTAATTACTCTCTTAATTACTAAAGATTTTAAAAATACTAAAATAATGAAAAAGTACTTAATATTTTCTAATTAACAGCCAGTTTGGTCAAGGCTTTTCAAGATCAGAAGTTTTTTTTTTTAAGTATTTTTTTTCAAAGTTGAGATATTTGGCAGCAAGGAAAAAAAAATTGAGTAGAAGAAGAAGCTATTTAACATTGTTCTCGTAATATATTCTTAACAAAAAATTATATATATCAAAATAGTCTTACCCAATTTAACTAAATTTAGCTATTCTAAATACAATTTTCTTAATGTATAGGTATTTTTTAATTTTTAGGATAGATTTCTAATATATGGTGGCTTTGGGTGAATATTTTCTATTTGTTGAATGATGTTGTGATATATTTAAATTATTAAAAAATAAATATTTTTTAAATGTATATTCAAGCCATTCAGAGGCCGATTTGCACGGGAAGGCATTTTTAGAGTATTGATTTGGCTTGTTTGAGGTAAGTATCTTACCTAAACTGGGTTGAAGCACTAGTTGTCTGAGTTAATTGTGATGGCTACGTGCTATGGGTGGCGTACATGTGAGGGGTTGAGCCCATGTGCGTATACCGGGGTATTACTCATGCTCGAGGTAGTGCTTAGGTTATGATATGCCTTGAATTGATTGCTCAACTTTATGCTATTATGCTTCTAATGTTTCTACCCTTTCTGAACTATTTGAACCATGTTTAAGGTTAGATATAGGTTAATCTCCTAATTGAACATGATAGTTGCTACTTTCATGATGTAATTGCCTAATTTGAGCTATGGTAGCACAGTTTGCATATGCATACACTTTAGCATGTCACTTATACCAGTCCATGAGTATATAATTTGATATTCATTGTTCATGTACATGTAATCTTGTATATCTGCTTTCTATGTGATATGAATTGGACTAGTAGCACGTGAGTTGTCCGAGCGGTTGAGTATGATAGCACGTGAGTTGTCCGTGCGGTTTAGATATGATAGCACATGAGTTGTCTGTGCGGTTGAGATATGATAGCACGTGAGTTGTCCATGCAGATCCGAGATATAATAGCACGTGACTTGTTCATGCAGTTATTATTATTGGCACGTGAGTTGTTCGTGCAGTTGTTATTATTGGCATGTGAGTTGTCCGTACGGTTATTATTATTGGTACATGAGTTGTTTGTGCAGTTGATATTATTGGTATGTGAGTCTCCATCCCCTAGGGTCACCTGCTTATGTTTCTCTGTTGATGGTGCACACGCAGGTTGTGAGAAATCATCGGGTTTCTAGTTGATGTGGATTTTGGTAAAGTTGATCATTGGTTGGACTTTGCATCTCTTCTCTATTTGCAAACTCTTTGGAATGTATACATGCATTTATGCATATCTTCCCTATGTGCTGCCTTACTTGATGAGATGAGACACGGTACATATCTTCTCTATATGTGAATCCGTGTGACTTGACTTGTTTAATCATGCATATTTTCTCTATATGCACTTGTTGAGGGATGTATCGCTATTTCACGCATATCTTCTCTATATGCAACAGTGGAAGTATTATTTGATACTTTATGCATATCTTCTCTATATGCTGGATTGTTAACTAATTTAGGACTTATCACATTATCTCTTTGTGAACCGGTGTGGTTTTATTTGTGTTATATGATTAGATGGCACCATTGTAGTGTACTTGTAAAATTCAGGAATTGAACAGGTTATTAGCGAATATCATTGATAATTCTTTCCACTATTACCTCGTTGAGGTTAGTTATGATACTTGCTTAGTACATGGGATCGGTTGTACTCATACTACACTTCTGCACCTTGCGTGGAGATCTTGGAGCTGAGATGTTGTGGATGACGTGAGATAGGGGTGTCAATGGTTCGGTTCGGACGGTTATTTTCTAAATTTTGTACCATATCAATTTTTCCGTTATTCTATTATGCATAACCAAAATTAAATTTTTCGAAACCATCCCAGTCATATCGATTTCTCTTCTGTATTGGTATGGTTCGGTTAATGTTCAGTATTTTTTTAAATGTCTTGTAAAAGTCACTAGTAGAAGTAAAAAGCAGTAACTGTACTTTTATAGGACTTAGCAAACTCTCTAGACATTTTTATTGTTTATAAGGTGATGAATTAAGAAATATGAAAGATGTCCAGAGTATAGATCCATCAACTATACTATAGCAGCGTAAAAGAAACTAAACAAAGATATTAACTGAGTGAAAAGATATAAACCAAGCTGTAACTCGAGAATAAAGTCTATAGTAGATTAATTCAAAAAGATAAATCTAAATCATACGAAAGGAAGCATATTCAATACATTGTAGTTTGCTACTAATCGCTAGAATACCTTGTGTCTTTGTGATGACCCAAATGGTCATCTTTTATTTTAGAATCCGATTTCGTGTTCCGAGGCCTTGAAACCCTCATTTTATCTCTCCTCGATTTGCGTGCATAGTCCGGGCGTGTATCCGAAAAGCCCTTATGTGAAAAATTTAAGAAATGATGATTTTTGGCTTAAAAAGATGATTTTTGTTGACTTTGGTCAACATTTTGGATAAATGGACCCGGACCCGTATTCCAACGATTCCGTAGTAAAATATGGGATCTGGGCGTATGCTAGGAATCAAATTTCGAGGTCTCTAGCCCGAGAAATAAATTTTTGAAGAAAATTGATAAGATTGAAAATATAATAACTTAAAAGATTTGATCTTGTTGGTATCAGGACCATATTTTGGTTTAAGAACCCGGTATAGGTCCGCTATGATATTTAAACCTTATCTGTGAAATTTGGTGAAAACGGAAGTGATTTGATGTGACTCGGACCTTTGGTTGAGAAAATAGAAAGTTTGAAACTATCTTGAATATTTCATGTGTTTTGGTGTTGAATCCATGGTTCTAGGTGTTATTTTGGCGATTTGATCGCATGAGCAAGTTCGTATGATGTTTTAAGACTTGTGTGCATATTTGGTTTGGATCCCCGAGGACTCGGGTGAGTTTTGGATAGGCTACGGAAAGATTGTGGACTTAGGAAAATATTGCTATATGCTTCAGCTGTTGCAGGCCCTTGATCTCGCAATTGCGAGATCAGGCATCGCAATTGCGAGCCCTGCAGGGTCCGCTTTTGCGAGCCTTTCATCGCAAATGCAATTAGAAGGCTAGGCCAGCAGAGTTCGCAAATGCGAACAAACCTTCGCAAATACGAAGGGAGTCTGGGAGGGGTATGGATTGCAAATGCGACCTTTTGTTCGCATTTGCGAGGTCAGTGGTCGCAATTGCGACACTTTCCTAGCATTTGCAAAGGCAGTAGGAATTGTGACGGCTTCGGAATTATGATAGCCCCTTTACAATTGCGGGCTTCGCATTTGCGAAGCTCATGTCGCAAATACGACATCTGCAGCTGTTCAAAACATAACTTAGACGGGATTTTTCATTCATTCTCCCATTTTTCAAAACCTAAACTTCAAGAGGCGATTTTCCAAAGACTAGTTCTTCCCCAAATCATAGGTAAATGATCCTTAACTTATTTTTTCAATCTATTTCATCTTTTTACGAGATTTCATCCTAGAATCTAGAGTTTTTTAATGGTAAAATTGGGTGTTTTTGGGTAGAACTTAGGAATTTCGAAATTTGGGGATTTAAACCTCAAATTGAGGTCGGATTCCAAAACCAATTGTATATCCGGGCTCGGAGGTGAATAGTTAATCGGGTTTTGGTCCGAATTTCGGGTTTCGACCAAGCGGGCCTGGGGTCGATTTTTGACTTTTTGGGGAAAATATTGGGATATCTATAATTATGCAATGGAATTGGTTTCTTTAGCGTTTATTGATATTATTAAGTTAATTATGACTAGATACGAGTGGATTTGTGGTGGAATCGAGAGATAAAGCTGTAATTGAGCTTTGAAATACCCGTTGGCTTGAGGTAAGTGTTTGGTCTAACCTTGACTTGAGGGATTAGGGATCCCCGACTTGCTTGCTATGTGAAATACCATGTGTGTGGCGTATAGGTGTGGTGACGAGCACCTATGCGTCGCCAAATTTCCTGTTTAGCCTAATTCCCTTCCCCGTTTCCTAATATATATTGCTTTCTTGTCTTAATTGCTACCTGCTTATTGATGTTTCCATGTCTAATTGCTTCTTGTTAAACGTTGTTTCTCTATTGATGCTGTTAATTGTTCCGTAGTTTTATTATATCAGACTGTTGGTTTACGTTGGTTTATTGGTGCTTTATGGTACACCTTGGTTGGTCTCGCTGTGTAATATTAACTGATGAAGTTTCACAATCGTAGTGGTATTCCGTTGTGTTGGTTTGAGGTATAAGTGTTATGGAGGATTTGATTTAACTTGTGAAATACTTGTCTTTATTTTGTGATTAGTGTTGATGTAATGGGATCGGGTTGCACGCCGCAACAGGAGGAATAAGGGTGAAATGTATTTGTCTGGTGGGATCGGGTTGCGCGCTGCAACAAGGAGTAACAAGGCTGAATGTTTATACTGTTGTTGATTATATGGTGGGATCGGAATGCGCGCCGCATCATTTGTTGCTTATATATTCTTCTTCTGCTGAGCATCATTATTTTGGTGTTGAAACTGTCTTAAGGATTGGTTATAGTTGTGTATTAGTAGAACGACTGGGTTCCGTATTTATTTAATGCAAGTTACTGTTATATTTCATTCTGTTTTCCTTTCTGTCTTTGTATAAACTGTTGCATGTTATATATTGTTATACTCCGCCATAGCCTCATCACTACTTCATCGAGTAGTGGCTGATCGAGAGGTCGGTTGCTAATATTGCATTCAGGAGACCTAAGGTAGTCCTGTAGGTGTCTGCAGGCCCTGGCGTCCCCTCCTATCTTTACTTCATTTCTGTTTTACTTTCTTCGAGGCAGATGTATTTTCTTTCAAACCATTACTTGTAGTATTCGTAAAATGTTCGTGAGTTATGACACCAGTTTCTGGGTGGTATCTATTTAGGCTTCCCTTA